CTGAACATTTCAGTGAGTGCATCTACTAAAAACGACTCTTCACTCTGTGCAACAATTTGAGTTTTTTCTCCATCTTGGACTACTCTGACAGGTCCATAAATTCCTTCGTACATGAACATTTCCATTGAGTTTGCTTTTGCGACAAAAAGCCTATGATCGGCCTGCACCACTTCTGCTTCACCCTTATCATTTCAAAAAATTAGGCATTGATGGAGCGATGAGGGTATACAGCGACTTCCGTGTATCCAATCACTTCCCAATAACACATTGTAACTAGTAGGACCATCTATTACAAAGAAGACTGTGGTCCTAGTAGTTGTTCCTATAGTTATGTCCAATGGCATAACCTCTTTAGTTGAAGTTGCTCCTCTATTGAAACTTGTAAGGATGACTTCCGTTGGAATCATATCACTTTCTGTCTTTGCAAATTTCCTCATCATCCTAGATGGAATGATGTTTATAGCTGCTCCATTATCAACAAGTACTTTTGCCACATGTATGTTGTCAATTAAAGCTTTAATGTACAATGGTCTCAAGTGTTTAGTTAACTTCATGGCTGGTCTCTTAAAAATAACTTTTTCGGCAACATCTATTTTCACTTCCTGTTTGTCCTCTGTCAAGTTATCCTTTTGTGATAAGTCAACGTGCAGTATGTCGCACTGAGCTTCTATTTTCTGAATTTCTTTTTTACTGTTTTCTAATGCTTCTTCTTCGGCTATCCAACCTGTTGGAGGAGACATTATTCTTGGAGGTGATCCATACTTTTCAGAGCGAGGAACTCTCTTTTTTCCTTTTGGGCATCCCAGATAGCACGTAATAATCGAAAGAATGCCTAGACGGTTCCCCCAACAAGTCCACTTCACGAACCCCCTCTCGATGTAGTTGCTTCAATAGAGTATTGTGTAATACCCCCCTCTTTCTTCTTTCTGCTTCCAGATCAATTTCCTCTGCGATGTCCGTCATACCATCATCCCCTTCATCATCGTAGGCCCCTCTAGAAGTTTAGCCTTCTTTACATTCCAGCACACATGCTTCTTCTTCGTTATCCTCTCTTTCTTCTTTTTCTTTCTCTTTGTTCTTAAAATCATTGGCTAGTAAGTAATTATTAGCAATGATAGGAGGTAATGTACCAAAGTGAATAGTAAGGAGCTGATCTGGATCTTCTCCATCTCTTCTGTCTAACTCAAACTTCGATCTCCCAGAAGAAGTTTCTCGCAATTCTTCCATTGATTCACCTGTACTAATCTCTTCACTGTCTTTGAGAACATTTTGATTGGCTATCTCGAGTAGTTTAAACGCTTTAGGACGTGACATTCCCTGTTGTTGCCTCATCATTCGTCCATAGTTCCGTTGAAAACGCCTTTGTTGGGTTCTAGTCATCTCGTTGAAGGGTATCACCCTTCCTGCGTTATACTGGAACGAATGCCATATATTTGGTTGGCGAGGTTGTGGCCTGAATGTTCTCCCATTATTTACTGGCCTGAACTGCCTCTCAAAAGGCGGTCCCCTATAAAATGATGTACCTCGCCCTCTACCAGGCTGAGCGTTCGGGAAAAAACTAGGGCGATAGTGATGCTGCCATATCCCTGGTTTATCTGTATTTGCACTCACTTCATTTTTGCATCTTACACAAAGGACGTCTTCATCCTTTTTGGGCTCCTTCCCTTTGATACGTTCAAAGACACTGGGATGTGGCCCAGGGTCCTCTTCCCCGTCATCTATAACCAACTTGAATTTTGGCAACTTGTTTTTCAAACCAGTCGCCACCATGTTCACCCCAAGTGGCTGTGGAAAAGGGTTTTCATCCACTGCCATTTTCTTCTTGTCCTTGAACGTAATTCGTCCTGATTCAATGGCATCCTATAACACATGGCGAAAACCAAACAGTTGTTAGTCACATGTGACCATGCATTATGCCACTTACAATATTTTTTACCCTTAACTTGTTCAGGGCTTGACAATTTATGTTTATCGCTCAGCTTTATCTGTTTATCCTTATATAGTTTATCAAATATAAGGTCAGCTTTGGTTAAATCGAACGAGAACGTTCTAGTCTTTTTGTTTTCATCTTTTATAGGCTCATCCTTACCCGACAGTCTAGATTTAGCCATTATAGGACAAGTATACGTATCTCTTTTAATTAATTCGGCCAAACACATTTCGACTTGATCGTAATATTCGTCATTAATGGTATGAACGTTAAAATTTGGGTCTCTATAATAAGTCTCCTTGTTAGAATTTTTCATTTGCTCTTCTTCTCTTATTAATCGTTCATACCTAATCACGTTTGCGCTCAATTGAAAAAGATCAGGAAATTCCTTGTCTTGAATTTTTTTTTTCAAATCAAAGTTTAGACAATTTTAAGCGATTTTGACAAACTCCTTTTCGGACAAAGGTACAAAACATTTACTTCTTGTTGTCTTGAACCTTTGAAAGAAACCTTCTGCCCATTCGTTTGGCATTTGACGCAAACTCGTCAAATCGGCCAAAGTAATTTCAAACTCAGTCTTATAAAACTGAGCATGGAACAATTGCTCCAATTGTTGTCATGTTTGAACAGAGTTCGTTGGCAAATTGATGAACCAGGAGAAAACTACTCCTGTTAATGAACTAGGGAACAACCTCATTTTATGGTAGTCTGTTATTTTACCACTTTGCAGTGTGAATCGCCCTATGTGTTATAGAGTAGACACCTCTCCTAAACTGGTAAATAGTGAGAATTCTAGCACTTTATACCCTCTAGGCCATGGATATGTTTGGTCTATCCAATCAGGATATGGCTTTGTGTAAGTCGACCTAATGACAGGATGTACTCCAAAAGCCATCTGATCCTGTACTATTTCCATAATTTGATTCCTCAACATGACGTTGGGGTCATATGGAATTCCTATAGGTTGGTTGATCGGTTGATTTGCTTGAGACTTGATGTTTGGTCCTTGGTTGGCAACAAAGTTGCCTTGATTTGGGCCATTGTTACCATTAGCCTGAATATTTATTCCATCATTAACACGTGGAGCATTCTGTCAATTATTTAGGACATTGTCTCTTACATTTAGGTTACCCCCCAAGTTAGCTGTACCATTACCACTATTCTGATTTGGCATTACACCATCTCCCTGGTTTGAAGTAGAGGGACCAAAAGGTGGTTCCATCCCTTGATTTGGACTTAGGACTGGGGGATTATGTCCTACAATTGTCCTAACTTGAAAGTGATTTGCAAGATGCACAATTGGCTGACAAATTTGGCCTACTAACTTATTCATTATTTCATTCAGAGTATTCAATTGTTTGGCCATATTGTCATAATGCGCATTCCCATTCTGGGTAAATCTTTCCATATTATGAATATTTCGATTTACCTGTTCAACGACATCCTGTGTGAATTCTCCAAGTAATACACGCATGGCTCGAGGACTCAACTCTGTCATTGGTTCGTAACGACTGTGACTGCTCTGACTCTGTCCCTCTGTTCGTGGAGAGCTATGCTGCTCCTCATATCGCTCGATCACAGACTGGATTCCTCCCTGACTTGCAGCTTCCTTATCAGATTTGTGAGGCATATTGTTTCACCTTTTGTATCTTCAACACCAAACACCAATGTCCCACCGGGCATGCCAAATTGTTTCGTGCGGGTAGTCGCTAACAATTAAAAAAGGGATCAGACGATTGTGTAAGGAACAGACCTCTTGAGACAAAGTCCCAAAAATGGGTGTTTTATTGGCGATGTTTTACAATTAGAACTAAATAGAATGCCTCCAAGGGCCGCAAGCACACGAGTATTGAAAGAAATGTTTAAGTTTAAACTAAAAAATTGAAATTACATATTTTCTGTTTGAGAGTGTTTGATTCAGGGTCCTCTTCTCTATGTCTTCTCTTCCTTTTATATTCCTTTGATGATTTCTTCGTGACAACCACTTAGAAACTGCTTGATTGTTGTATAACTACCCACTTTCTTTATAGTGGCTAACTTGTAGGGGAACTGTCGTCCCTAACTGTCGCCATTACTCTTTGTCGTTCAACTGCCTTCAACTGGGCCCCTTGATTCGTGGAATGTGATAAGACCACTCAATAACTGTTTCAATAACTGTTATTCTGGATAATTATAATGTTTTATGTTTGCTAAAGTTCTGGGCGATTTGAAGGTTTGGACGAGAACGTGGTCATTGCTCTGAGCGACCGTAAGGTATGCTATTCGCTCAGATTTTGGGAGTCTTGCAAGCTTGGACGATGATGTTACTGTGTTCGTGGGCTTCCACTGCATTCATTAATAACCCCATCTGGGCCTTTATCCTGAATTACCCAATTGGGCTTCACTCTTTGGGCTATTTGATTTGGGAATTCCTTAATCGGGTTTCATTCCTTGGGCTATTCGATTTGGACTGCACTTTTAGTGTGTCAACAGTATGTATTGTAATTCCTTGGATGCCAACTAGCTGTGTGTTTAGTGGCGTTGCTTGTTTATATGTCCATTTCATGCCTTGTTTGTTTGTATAGAATTCGAGGATTTGTATCTGAAAATTCTCTGTCCACGATTCACTTTTTCTGCATTTCTCGGGTTCAAATTCCATTTATGCTATGAAATTGTTTTACAGGAGCTATATACATTATATGAACGGAAAACTACCGACTGGAATCATTCAACGCGATACCAAAGTATACCCATGAAAATTACCTCATTATCAAAGATAAATAGACAATGATTCATGACTCTCTACGGACCCCCCTTGTTTTGAAATAATCCATTGAACAATGGTTACTATTTGTTCTAGTCTATTGGTAATAATATAATAATTCTGTCCATATGAACAAAAAGAAACACCATTGCCATCACCATGATCATAATTTTCGTCTTCATGTTTTGGGTAAAATACTTAAATAAACAACAATAAAATGAGCATTGAAGAGATAAAACTGTAAAATCTAAAAAATATATTGAACAATGAATCAAGTAATCCACTATTACCTGCTTACGACGAACATCGTTATTCAAACAAAATTGCTTATTAAGGGTTTTACGAACTTTATAGAGTAATAAACATTGATGAACATTATTATCAATGGTCCAAAAATGTCACCATTGAAACTACCTAATCTTGAGTCTTGACAAGGATTACAAACAAACCATGAAAAAATCGGTTCAATAGAAATATTTTTATCGCCTATCCATCTCCTGCCGGTTCAAGGACTAGATGGTTCAAGCTACGTAGCACGATCTAATTAAAAAATATCGCTTAATTGAACAGGAAAGACATCGTAATGAGATACAAAACAAATTGCAAACAAACGATAATGTACAAAGTTCATCTACACAAGCTGTCTAAATTCCGACACTTCCAATCACTGTACAATGTTCCTGGGTAGAGATGCAGCAAATTGAGAATGATAAACTCGCATGTGAAGTTCGATAACACTTTATTAGCCGCTACGGTTTGCTCATTACTGTTAAATCCATTAAGCAAAAGTGGCGCGCTTTCCAAATTCTGAGTATCTGTACCTTCGGGAGCCAAAGGCAGTTCATTTTCATTCGAAGTGCTACCAGAGCCCCTCTTATCATCTTCTGGTGCATCGTCAGTATCTCTTCTTCCGTTCTTCTGTTCACTTGAACTCCCACCAGCACCATCCTTTGGCATGCCTATGACCAAGTCCGGTCGAGCTTCAACACCTACTCGTCTTAGGTGTAACTGTAGTTTTGAAGATATTAATCAAGTAATTATTGGTAGTCTACTTGCACGAGCACGAATTGTAAATAAAAAAAGGTTCTGCAAAAAAACCTGAAGATGAAGATTTACTTCATCTGGTCGTGAAAGAAATGGAAAATCACCGCCAGTCTTGAGAGATGCTAGTCTGGCACCAGGGTACCTTTCGATCACTTGATCTTTAAGTTGCTGAGGAATTGCACAAAAATCATTTGTCTTCAAGCAGCCGTAATCACACCAAAAAAAGTCATTCAGTTAGATAACTTTTCATCCTTTACATTCAACTCAAACTTATCTTAACTTCATTAACAATCACAAGGTTTTAAAACTTCAAGTACAGATCAAGACATTTTATTTCATCTAATGTAAGACTAGCTAGTCCAGTATCCAAACGTAGGAGCAGAAATAACAAGTATGCTGATAAAATTTTAAAATCCTTCTGTCGAAAAGGACTGTATAATAAACGCACTTGGAAGAATAGCCGCTGAGTTTACATGTTCAGTACGCACTACTCGATAATAATAGACAATACAATAAGCAATATTTTAGCATTTTTTCGTAAATACTACAGTTGACACCATCCAATCCTATGAAGATGTTATAAGTGGAAACATAAATAGATTGAAACATACACAAAATAAGTAATCTATGATGTACCGACACGGACACGTGTGTCCGACACGTTGATCTAAAGTTGAAATATCATGACACATTGATCTAAAGTTGAGTGAACATACATCCATTATAGTGATTAAGGAATCTGAAAGCAGAAGTGGTCCTACTGATGCAGCATCAACTGTCAAACTCAATCTGGAAGCCAAGTCTTCTCTCGACAGAGTTTCAACCTGCGGGGCAGTTTAATAATTACAGATTAAGTGCTCAAAAGAATCTACGGTCTAGTAACTTCACTTGGTACAAAACTCTAGGTAACCTATTGAACTGTGTTAATATTGTAAAAAAAGTTCAAAAATAACCAATCAAAAAACAAAAAGATGGGTCGTTTTATCTTTACCAATGAAGAAGAAACAGCTCTGTTCATAAATGTAATTCCTGGGGTGAGGATCTTTATACTTCGCATGATAATTAATCTACAGGTAAGGGGTAGTGCCAAAACCCCTATCTAAGTTCAGGTAGGAGCTTACTTAAACTTAGAAGGAATGCAAAAAGAAAGAAAAAAACACTAGAGATCATAGTTGGACGACTGACACCTTTTGATATTCTTTGATAATAAAGTAGCATACTGTATAAAATTAATTTGACACAATATGCTTGAATGTCATGACAACCACTAATATAAAGTTCACCAGGGCTCATAATTTATTACCTGAGCAACAACGAAGTCCACAGAATCTGCAATAAAAGGTTCATGGGGGCCATCACGAATCCCAGTTAAGACATACCTCTTCAATAGAAAAGCCGGAGTCCAACCAACACTGTCAAAGACCAAGCCCGCATTAGAATAACTTAGCATGCTAAAAGATTATCTTCAAGTGTAACAAACACATGCCAGATACAAGGCATCATCAGCAGAAGGTTCTTTCGTGGATTATGACTCAACAGACTAATTCGTCCCATGCAAAAAAAGGGAACTAAAGGATTTTTGGAAGAAAACTTCAAAAGTGGGGAGGAGAATGATAAAATCTCCTATGTTACTTCGACTCCTATAAATGCGTGAAATATCAACATCAGACCCTTGACACTTGTGTGACATTTGATTGATCAAGAAAGTATATCAAAGATGTTTAATTGTTTTACAGTTATTTCAAATATAAATGAATTTCATTCTGTCTTGATGATCAGATGACTTTACCATAGAAATACAGAAAAAATATTTATGTTTTTCCAGTCTTTGTATGCAGATTTCACAGATCTGACAATACCAACGTATAGACACATACATACAATTTAAGCAGAAGGGTGTCTACGATGAATACCTGGCACCATATTTGAGCGAATAAAATTAAATTAACTTAGTAACAATATACACAACAGAGGTAGAATGACCAGGAGATCTAGAAGTACGAATTACCACTAACTGGTGTTTGTACAAGTAATCCCATTGAGAATCATCACTAGTCCCTTAATTATCTAGTACAACTTTAGTTTATCATAAGCATCATGTTTGCTTCCCACTTTCTTTTTGACCCATTTTTCTGGCTGGAAGGAAGTTTCATGAACAATTGACACCTGTCACATAATAAATTTACTACCAATATCCCAAATGTAAATCATTCATTCTGGTCATGGATTCCATAACCTGGGGTCTAAAATAGAGAAGAAAGCTGACAGTTACCACTTTAAGCCCCTGTTCGACATCCATTATAAAAAGAAATTTTGGTAAAATGTAGCATGGAATAGTATTTTTTGAGAGAATGTGTGGTTGAAAAGAAGAGAGAGAAAAATATATTAAAAATTTAAAGGGTGTCAAACAACGGCTAAATTTTATTCGGTGGATAAATAATTTGAAATTTACTACCAATATCCCAAATGTAAATCCTTCTTTCTGGTCATGGATGCCGTAACCCGGGGTCTAAAACAGAGCAGGAAGCTGACAGTTACCACTTTAAACTTTCTTCAGTCAATAAATAATTTGAATAGGATCAAGAAGAAATTGATCCACTTAGAAGGCTAGAAAGGGAACAATATATGATTTGACAAGATAATGACTAATATTAGATCAAGCTTGTGTGCATCCAATCACAAGTACAGCCTCATGGATAACATACATGGGAGCCCATGGCATGGCTGCAGAAAAACTACTTGTCTCCAAAAATGTGTTTGAGAGTACCAATGACCTAACTCGTCGTGGGCGATGCTGTGCAAAAAGTTGAGCTAAGAAGCCTCCAAGAGATGTGCCATAAAGATGTATCTGGTAAATACAAATGAAACAGCCACTTCAGTTTATGATTAACTAATGTCATCACATCCGTTAGACAATGAAAGTGTAGGATGTACGGTAAAAAGCAGTAGGTTCCTCTTCCAATACACTTTCAAGAAAATTGATTGTTTCTTTGAAACTCAACAGTAAAGATCAACTTCTTTGTTGTACCAAAGACACAAAAGTGATCCTTGTGTCCTCATCCTTTTGAGTCAGACCTGTGTCTCCTGGGGTGGCATGTTTGCGGTAAGGAAAATGGCGTTTGAAAGATCAAATAAATCAATAAAAGTATTTTCATATATACTTCTGATGTGTGAAGTAATTGGACCTATGTGCTACTGATATTTATTTCATTTGTCAGTCACATTTTTATTAATTTTGGGTCATGCTAATGGTTGGTAAGTTTCAGTCTACCAAGTGGTTCATAAGTTTATTTGGTCAAATGTGTATTTATATGATTTTTAATTCTCGTGTCTCAACTCTGACATCATATCTTTTCAAAGAATTCCTTGTGTTTTGTCCATGCCGTATCAGCATAGGTCTACAGTATACAAAAGAAAGGAAATATTTTTTTCACATGAACAATATGCCATATTTCCCTACCAATCCTCACCTGCATACAAAAATACCATCCAAACGACCATAGAAGTTTAGGCTACCAACAACCTTGTGTTCCCAGTTTTACTGTCAGAAAACAAAGTGTCTGCCCCAAATTTATTATGTTGGTCATGCTACTGCTGCCAACAACCTCAGCTAAAAGTGCTGTAAGAACGTCTCCAAAATACTCTTTAAACATATGACACTCTCTATTTTAGAGAGTCAACCCTTAAAATTGAAAAATTACGTTCCAAGAGACTCTTTAAATTATCATTTTAATTTAGAGAGTGAGTTTATAGAGCCAAACTCACTCTCTATAATTAAGCCCTTGTTTGATTCACTTTAAAATTTTAATACATTTTTCTCTTTTCTTTTCAATCACACATTTTTTAATGAAAAAATATTACATGTAAATAAAAAACATTTCCTTTCTTTTTTCATCACACATTCTCCAAAGAACTATTATTCCAAAATGCATTTTACCCAAATTGCTCATTATAACGATTGTCAAACAGGGGCTAAATGCATTCAAAGTATGAGGAAAATAATAGAATACTTTGGAGGAAAGCTAGTGAAAATAGAAGATAGAGAAAAGCAATAAATATTTTTTGGGAGATTAAAATTAAATGTTAAATATAAAGAGGCTGTTGAAGTACTTAAAAATTTTGCTCTCTAAATTGTAGAACATACTTTTAAAATATAGAGTCTGTTATAGGTGCTCTAGGGAAAAAATAGGAGATAAAAACTTCCATCTGAAGCATAGGCATCATGATAATTGTTCCAAACTATAGTTTAACGTAACCTAATTGATGTTAAGTTTGTGAAGATATAACATCAAATCTTTTTTTTTTATTTCTTTTTTGAACAATATACAGCACAGAAATGACCCACATTTGGATTTCAAAATAACAAAATTTATAACGACGAGAAAAAAGAAAACCTCAGTAAGCAATCTCATTGCATCACAAAAGATTATCCCTTTTTGTATGTTCCAGTTCAGTACCTTCTAGTAATAATTTCTAGTGGAGAAGGATGAGAACCCTGAACCAATTAGAAGTAAAGCACCGAATGACTGAACTTCACAAACAAATTTACTAAAATATGTAAAGGTACAGGTACAGGTACAGACAGAGCTAATGCTCATAATTTAATGTATGATCTTCGTAAGGACTCTGGCACACTCTGGCCCTGCCAACATAATTGGGCAATCATGTCTAGAAATAGGGACTGCCAATATATTTTTACAACAGTCACACCATCCGCCCACAGCTGATATGAGACAGGACAAATTAATTCTCCCACTCAAATGCATGACATACTCATGCATCCAACCCGTAGTCCATGACCTACTCCACTAGTCAAAACACACAAATAACATGGTTCATTTTCCTCCCAATTCATCAGTTTACAACAATACGATCCAGGAACAAGGATATCCTTGGTAAGCTTATGCAAGTCAAGTATCAGGTAGAATTCCAAAGTTAAATCTCAATCATTGCCTATGGCATCTTCTTTTTATATTTGAATATCGAGCCCGATCAAGTGTCCTCTAAATAATACTTCAGATAATCATATAATACTACAGATTTCCGTAGAGAGAAAAAAATTGTCAGTAACCTAGAGAAATGTCCGAACACTGCTAGTGAAACTACTGTTATCTCTTAGGATAAAAGTCCTGTTCCATGTGAAAGGCAATTCTCCAAAGCAAAAGGCACAAGGAAAAATTGAAGAGTTTGAAATAATTTACTCTAGAAAGCTTTGATGAACACGAGATATTCAGGTCAATCATAGCACAATTTATTACACTAGGAGTCGGAATTGATATGATGAAATTAGAAAAAGAAGGCATTTAAGCAAAATAAGGATTGGAAAGATGAAACACAATGATTTGTGAAAGACAAACAGAAATCTTACGTGATGAACATCAATAGCATCCAGAAACTTCTCAAATGCTTGAATCCATTCGTGGTGGTTCCACACACGTGGAATATCAACAGATATCACTCGGTAACCCTGAAGAAGATAAGATGATTTACTTCATTTTGTCAACTATAAGATGTGCTCTATCCTAGGTACAAAACTAAAAGATCCCGAACCGCAAGAAATAAAATCAAACAACATTCTTGCTATCTACTAAGTCCCTTTTGCATTATACCAACAACAAATGACACCAGATTTACAGTGTCACATGAATAGATACATCCACAAAATGATGAAAATGATACCTCTCCACAGAAGTGAAAATGGATATTTCTGGCAATTAAAGTTGAATAATGATGATAAAAATTGTATATCTACAGAAAAGTGGGAGCTAGACTTGGCAATATAAACAAGAATGCTTATCCGAGCTGCAGGAACATGTACATTCACATACAGAATATGGAATTGTAATGTAGTCTTAATCTTAATTATTTCATTCTGTTACTTTCTATTTACTTCATTAGCTTCAAGTGTCTAGAGTGACCAAGTGAGAAGATCAATTATTTTCCTCATTAGATTTCGTCTCCAGTATTGAGAGGATTCTAAAAGTTTGGATAGACGGAAGAGATCATTTCTGCCAATGAGGGGGAAGATTAACTTTTATTCAATCAGTTCAATAAAACATTCTCATCTGTTATATCATTCTTAAGGATGCCAATTAAGATTGTCGCGAGTATGGTTTGGACCAAAATGGATGGGGTTTCAAAAGAAGTGTTAGAAGTTCCCTCAGAAACCTTGGAAGTTCAAATCCAAAGGATTTTCTTCTTTTACCTGATTTATAAAAGTGGATGTGGGTGCAGCCCGCAGGGGATGTGATTTTTCTTGTTGGATTGGCACTTGCTCTGCTTCTTCAGTTCCAAGAATCTAATCTTTCTTTGTTTAAAACATTTCCAGTAAATTCTGTTGATTCGCTACTTAATAACATAAAATGGATTGGAATTTTCAGTTTCAAATGTAAGATATTATATATATGTTTTGTCTATCGATCATTCTCAATAATCATTTCCCAGAACTTCTCAAACTGATAAAATGTTGTGAATGTTTAAGTACTTGGAATTTTTCTCTAGTAGGTCATTCTTCTGTACTCTTGTTGATTTGCCAAACCACCCCATCTTTGTCTCATTCAGGTTCATTTGGAACATTTAGATCCCTTACCAATATCCTTCTATGACTGGTGTAAATATTAAAATAGCTAGTTGTTAACCTTTGAGTTGACTCAAAAAGAAACATCCTTATATCTCTCTCCCCTCCATGGTGTGGGAAGTATGGAAAGGATTCAGAAGGTATTGATCACTCAGTTTTACATTGCAACATGGCTCTGATGTGGACTTCTTCAGGAAGCCAGCTTTAATTCGGCTGTAATGAGTTACCTCTTGAAAAGACAGTGTTTGGTAAGGGCATGAGGGTTATGAGTGTGGAATGCGACAGTCTTGGCCATGTTTCAATAACTTGGACAGAGAGAAAGAATGGGACATTTGAAACCTGAGATCAAGAAGCTTCTAAATAAAGTTTCTTCTTAATTATCCTTAGCTGAAAAGCTTTATTGTATTCCTAAGTTTTTTATTTAGTTTGGTTTTTTCCTTATGCTCCATATCAATTTGTATTTAAGCTTCTATAATAAATAAATTCAAATTTTTCTATCACGAATACTTCAACCACACGACTTGGCCCACTGAAGATATCCTCTATTCGATAGTTTACCTACTAGATAGCTTTTGTTACTTGAACATAAATGAGCGTCCAACTACCTAAATTTCTATAATTACTCAAGTTATCATTTTTGTATTATATACCAAATCTATTGCTCACTTCTCATAATACTATGAGTTTGTTTTGCTTTCACGTGCTTATGAGGTAGAAATAGAAATAAAGTAAAAAGGGCCAAGACCATAAGCGAATACATTCTATTGGTAGAATTGGAACGCTTAACGCCAATTATATTAGCATCATCTGTTATTAAACTAGATTTGAGTAGGGATGGCACCCCGGGGGGGGGGGGGGGGTGGCTTATATATATTTCTTTTACTTTTGAAAGTCTTTCTAGGGTAATTTGGAAATTTAACTAATGGACTTAGGTCAGTTCAGGTTTGTTCATAAAAAAGTTGGGTTAAAATGCTTTTTAAAAAATTATGAATTTTCTTTTTAAATAAACATATAATCGGGGCGGGGCAGCAAAACCCCACCCAGATACCCCGTCAGGAATGCCAATTCTTGCTCCATCCGGAACAGGCATTGTGGGCGCGGATATTTCCGGTCAAATTGCCATCCCCAGATTTGAGGCTTCCTTTGTAGTTAGAAATGTCACTTAGGAGCTTAAGTGACTCACGATGCCACAATCGGAGACTTCAAAATTGAGACGTCAGGATCACATGAACTTATTCAGACAAGGACTCCATATATTACTACGTGATTATCTAGGCAGGGCCACCATGACATGACGTGTGGCAATAAAAATACTCATAAACAGCCTGACCAGAAAAAGTCGAAAAAGATTTCAGATTGGAGGAGGGCATAAGAAATAGATCTTTTGTTAATGGAACTGATTAGGTAAGAATGAACGTCTATCCAAAGAATTGTCACTACTTCCGAGAGCACAAACCTGTTGAGCTCTCATTTAATAAGGCTAATGAAGAAATTGCCCGCACCAATACAATTTTTTCAATTGAAAAGTGTGCATACAAATCATATGCCAGATAATATGCAAAATTAAAATACACTATAATACACCATGTTGTAAGATTGTGGGGAAACAGTCTCCTCCCATCCGAAATTATTTTGCATCTCAAATCTCATTTTTAAAATTTAAAGAAAATCATTTAAGCATATCAATCAGCAAAAAGGAGAAAAATTCTTATTCTATTTTCATATCTTGGAATATGCCGCGTGACAGTAGGTATTTAAACAACCCCCCTCCCCCAGCTTTTAGTTAGGCAATTGGTGCTTGAATGCAGGGAGGGCAAATTAGGTCTTGCTTTATGCCCTTTTAAGATTCAAACGTTATGCACACCATCTAATTAATCATAGGACATCTATATTTGCATTTCAAGATTGTTTTATATGTCCTTCATTATTTTTAAATTTGGAAAAATTAATTAATATTAAATGCTAATATTGTTGATGGTCGAGGAAAGTAACGCTGGTCAAAATACCTCTCCTTTGTCTTTGACTAATTTGAGAGAAGTTTTATCTATCCGATAGGCGCATGGGATATAATTAGGAATTCTCCAAGCTTACATTAATTTCATTCAAGAAAAAATGAGATTTTCCCAGGCAATGAAGATTACCTAAAAGAAAAATTATATATAATGAACTCAATACCTTCATGGATAATGACAGGATTTGTTTGTAGTACACGTCCGTAGTTCCAGCTGTACCAGGAAGACAGATTAGTGGAGGCACAACTTTGGGGCCAAAATCATAGTATCGCCACTGCTTTGAATAAATCTACAAACCATTTTAACGAAGCCTTTCAGGTACCTCATTAGAAACACAACAGAAGTATTGACATATCAATGCAATAGCTCAAGTTGACTTTCCAGAAAAAGCGATAATGACCACAGAGGCCTAAAAGTCTATACAAAGAAAACAATTCATGACATTATATTGAATACCATCGAAACTGCTGAGCATGTTTGAATTCCTTAAACTAAGCAACTCCTTAGAATCCAGCTGAGACTCTTGACTTACTCCTAAACTCCACATAGAAACATTTTCTATAAAATCATTGAAAGTTGATATCAAGCTCAAGTTCATTAATATGCTATAAAGTTACAACTGATGATATTAACTATAATTGAAAATGTGTTCATTTTGCAACAATTTTTGGATATAAATCATTTTTCTCCATTTTCTCATTCTTATTATCAGCTCTCTTTTCATACCACCCATCTCAATACTTTCTATTTTCTTGAGGTGTTCTTGCCATAGCTTCCTAGATAAAGCATTGGTGAAAAGGAGTACAGGAAGGAGACAAACGAAGTTTTGGCAAGTGATTTGCCCATCTTCAACATATAGGGTAGGTCATAAAGTGGTTCCAAAACCCATTTTTTAGGGGCATTTGGTAGAAAACAAGATGTAGTAGGAAAGAAAGTTGTATTATTTTCCCTTAATTATCACAATTATATGAGCTCAATTTATAATACAAAAAGAGCCAAAAAAAGGTAATCTCCTAATCTAGGAAAAAAGAAATTTTCCTAATCTAAATAAGGTACACAATCCATCACACAACAATACATAATCAATCCCATAATATACGGAATTTCTATACTCCCCCTCAAGTTGGATTATAGATGTTGATCATATTCAACTTGTAAATAAAATCCTCAAAAATTGGTTGGGATAGTCCTTTTTTGAAGATATCTGCAATTTGTTCTTTTGTAGGCACATAGGTCATGCATATAATCCCGTCTTCAACCTTTTTTTCTTTTTTTTATGAAGTGTTTGTTACCTTCTACATGTTCAATTCGATCATGTTGGATTAGATTTAGGGAAATGTTGATAGCTGTCATGTTGTCACAATAGAGATTGATTGGAGATTTTACCATAGTTTGTACTTCTTATATCAATTTCTTTATCTATAGTCCTTCACATATTCCTTGTACAGCTGCTCTTAATTCAACTTTAGTACTACTTCTAGCTACCACATTCTGCTTCTTTTATTGATCCAGCCCAATCGTTTACTCACATCTGCTTCTTCAAAGTAATAAAGTCTCTCACATTTCTTAGCACCGCCAATCGTCTTCTCCAATAATACGTCCTAAAAAATACAATAAGACGAAAGGAATTTAGCAGAGCAATTGGAGTTTTTCGTTAATTGACTAATTGACAGTAAGTCGCAAGATAAATTGGGAATGTCAAGAACAGACTCAAGTGTTATCGAATCAGAGATTCAAATACTCCCTTTTCCCGCTACATGCGAGAGTGAGTCTTCTGCAATTTTAACTTTGATATTGCCAGCGCAAGTAGAGTAGGTCGAAAAAAGATGATAGGAGTCCGTCATGTGATCAGACGCACCCAAGTCAATAATCCAGGGAGCTTTGGAACGAGTGATTGTATGTAATGCTATCAGAAAATTAACTTTGTGAGCGAGCGAGCATGAAGGAATAGATGACTGGAAACTTGAAAGCATTTTATAGAGTTGCTCTAACTGTCCTGGGTTGAAAGCAACGTTTGGAGTGGAAATAGTTTTTTCTTCGATAGGATCTATATATGCTTGGTAGCCACGATTCTTGTTATTTTGTCTTGATTTCCAATCCGTTGGTTTCCCATGCAAGTCCTAACATGTATCTTCTTTATGCCCCGATTTACGACAGTGATCACACCAAGACGTCCCCTTTGATTTAAGCCAAACCCATTTGTAGTGAGCCCATTTCAGCAAGCCCACTCCATTTAAATCAAATTGTTGTAGGCCCATTAGGAGATTGAAAAGACCCAAGTTTTTTTAGTAATCGGGCAGCCCATTTAACACAACACCTTTGGATATTAACGCTGACCCAAACTCCTCTTCTTCAGGCTTGCTTATTCTTCCTTCCTTCAAAATTACGTTCCTCCAGTTTTCCTCTCTGCGCACTTCGGCGAATGCCTCACGCGATGAAGGTAAGGGTCGCTGGCTCAAGATTCTACCCCTTACATCATCTAGGTTACAATCTAGTCCGGCTAGAAACTCGTAAACCTCTCGTTCTCCAATTTCTTTTTGTATTGCACTCTATCAGCCAGACAATCCCATTCTTCTTTCGTATTTTGGTCGAGTTCTTGCCAAAGAGAATTCATTTTCAGATAGTATTCGATCACTTCCCTTTCTTTTTATTTCGTTTGCCACAACCTTGTTTTGATTTCAAAAAATTTGGGAGTCCTCAGAATCTGAATACATATCACGCACTACTTCCCACACATCTTTCATCGTCAGTAGAAAGAGATAAGTTTTTCCAATTGCGAGTTTCATGGAGTTGACTAGCCACGCAATCACCATTGAGTTTTCCGACCTCCAATTTTCCAAAAGGGCGGTGGCAGTTGAGGCAAGTTGCTTTTTCTCTCCGATAAGATATCATAGCTTTCCTTTTCTGTCGACGATAAGTTTAATGGATTGAGCCCATTCTCGACAATTCTTTCCATTCAATTTTTCCACGGAAAGCTGGAAAGATAAATTATCGAGGCTTTCCGAGCCCATGGTGGAGAGGAATTCTCCTTCACTATTTAGAGGCTCTGAAGTTGTCGACTGAATGTTGTTTTCTGCCATTGACTGTTGACAACTAGGTCATGAAGACTCGAGCTCTGTGTAAAACGAGATGTAGTAGAAAAGAAAGTTGTATTATTTTCACTTAATTATCACAATTATATGAACTCAATTTATAATCCAAAAAGAGCAAAAAAAAAAAAAAAAGCCAATCTCCTAATCTCAATGTTTTGAAAATCGACCTGATCATCGACCCCGAAAAAGGTGAAGGGTTAAGGGTCAAAAGATTTAACCGAGGTCGAACCAAGATCGAACCGGATGCAATAAATATATACAAAAATAATAAAATACTATGAAAACAATAATTATTTAAAATTTTCATATTAATAATTTGTTAATTAGATTCATTATCCTACAATTAGTCTCGATACTTCAAAAATAAAAAATTAATATGTTAAAATAGTTTTGCTTTGCTAAATTAAAATGGTTTAAACTTATAGAAAATGATATTTAAAATTAATATATTAATAATAAAATGCAATTTAAGTTAATTTGAAAATTATATAAATGAAAAGATGAAGGTGGATATTACAATTTAGTTAGTTGAGATTCAAAATCAAATTAGTTGGGATTCATGATTTTGATTGTTATTTTAACAATTTTTGTTATGCTCCTATCCTACATTGAAAGTTCATGAAATCATTGGAAAGAAGTGCGTCTATAAAATGCGCTATTGCACATTGAAAGTTTATGAAACCATTTGTGAGAGGTGCATCTATAAAAAAAGCATGTCATCCAATATTTCTCTATGAGCTTTTGAATTGTAGTTTATGAAGCCCATTTATGAAGTTAAACTTTTTTAAACTAGAAAAATAAATTTGGAAAATGACAAAATCGTGACCAGTTCACCAGCTTAAGGTTAAATCGGCTGATTCGGTGGGTTTTTAAGCGGTTTAGTCATAATCGGTTAATCGGACATAATTGGTCCAATTTCCGGTTTTACCGCTTGACTCGACAGGGCCGGACCGATTTTGACAACATTGCCTAATCTAAGCAAAAAGAAATATTCATAATCTAAATAAGGTACACAATCCATTACACAATAATACATAATCAATCCCATAATATACGAGATTTCTACACATTTTAACTTAAGCTTCCATTTCAGTGCACTTCTGTCTTTGTGGATGGAAACTACAGATCTACTTCTATAGATTTGACAAAAAGACACTTTGCCTAATCTCAAATATAGACAAAATATTGGAAGCTTGAGGACTCAATTACCAAGAAAAAAGGTTGAGGACCCCACCCCCGCTCCTACAGGTTTGAAATGTGCATACAATTTTCCCATCATTGTAAACTCAAGAAAGAAGTGTTATCGAATGATTTCCCGCATTTCTTTCCAGTATGGAACATGATCAAGTCTATCCCTTAACAAATTGAATCTCCCAGGACCCAAATTGGAATAACTTGAGGAATAGTTCACCTTCATAGAAATAAAAATAAAATCAAGAATTGATTGCAAGAGAACCTACTCAGTTCCATAGAACTAATTTCAAGGCATTCCCATTCTTAAAAATTGCTCTATCTTTTCTGATAACTAGAGAGTACACCAAACTGAAATAAGATGAAAGTAAGCAAATAAATCCACCAAACAACAAAAGCAACAAATTCACCAAAACGATTGTTTATGAAATAAAACAATAAGCCATAAAGGTAAGGTCTTGAATTCATTAACTTAAGATTCGAAATTATCAACTAATTCAAATAAATTAAAATTCAAGATTTATAAATAATTACGTTCTCATTGATCCACAAAATAAGAATTAAAACTGAATCAAATACATGCCCAGATGAGAAATGAGACTAATGTGCAAAACCCATTATTAAGAACTCAATAATAAAAAGAAAATAGATGAACTCAATAAATTTTAGGGAAAAGTATTAAAAGTAAAGGGAGCTCACGGGGATCTTGTGAAGGGGGACCTGAGACTTGAAGTGGATGTAATCTCCGGGCGCCGAAAAGACGCCTTTCATTGCTGTTTTTGAAACTGTCTACTCCATAAACAAGCAAATATCTATGTATAATTGGTCTTAGCAATAAATTTTAATTGTAATTGTCAGAATGTTGAAATTTTTAATTTTTGCGATCTGCGTCAAAAATTTAACTGCGTCAAAAATTTAAGAAGACGTATTTGAGCTGCGATTTATGGGATTTGACGAGGTGGAGAATGAAGAGGAGCCACGTGGTGGTGAGACCTTATTCATGTTAACAATCAGTCAAGTTGACGTACATTACAAAGGCATCTTCATCTTATATGTCAAATTTGATATTGAATTTAGGTCCATATATTTAATTGATCATTGAAATTTAAAATATCGATTTTTGATCATTAAATTTAACGTACAATATTTTTAAAATTCCATGATCAAAACTCAACTTTTTAAACTTTAGTGAGCAATCGAAGATATGAACTTAAATTCAGTGATCAAAACTTGACATTTTAAATTTCAGTGACCAATCAAAGACATGAAATTAAGTTCAGTGACTATTAGAACAATTATTTCGTCAAATTTCCTTCTTTTTTGTTTTCCAAGTTTCTAACTAACATAATTTGTAAAATCTTGAATTTATGTTGTCTTTTTGTTGAGTTTCCAACTAGATTAAGCCTCTGTTTGATAATAATTATTTTCATTTTTTGTACATACTCATTTTTAATTACATATTCACATAATAAAATATTCTGCACGTAATCCCAAATTTTTTTCCTATCTTTTAATAACATATTCTCCTAAAAAATATTATTCAAAACTTTGTTTTCCGTCAAACGGGCTAATAGTGAAAAGTGGCAAAATCTTAGCTTTTTCCTTAATTTTGAGCAACGAGATACTCTTGAAAATCAAAACATGTTAAAATGCATACTCTCTTATACCAAGTGAAAAATATAATGTAAATTTGGATGGATCTTTCACAAATCAAGCCGAGTTTGACCATCAAATAAGTTAAATGGAGAAGAGCTTGAGCAAACTTTTGCGAAAAGCTCTAAAATGTGCCTAAGAAATATGTTGCTGGCTCAAGTTTGCTCAAGCTCTAAAATGCGCCTAAGAAATATGTTGCTGGCTCGACTAGGGATGCCAAACTTGTAGCTCGAGTTATATCTCTAGTGTTGAGAATTGAGAAGTATTTCCACATGATTTAACTAACTTCATTGAATGGTTCGTCAGAATAATTTAACATATTTAGTCATAGAAAAATGAAAGCATCTTTTAAAATAAAAAGCGATTGTCCAACAAGAGAACTCAATCAAAAAATATTTGCTAAAAAATGTTGCATTAGACAACTCATAATTCACGTTATGGAATATATTTATCAAGTGAATAAGTACAACATCGATCCTTAATACCTTTTACAAAATTGTAGCCAAAATTTTTGATTCAACGTGTTTTTCAAGTATATCGACAGAAGGATTACATACAACTGAAAAATATGTCTTTAAGGTGCATTTGCATCCCTGCAACTACTCGGTCAAAAAATTTGTAATAGTTGAGCACACATCGCATGTCCTCATGTAACTATTGTAGAAATTCAAATGAGCTGGCCTAAAAAGTTGTGCTAGTTGTTTTTTAAATTCAAATGTTAGACAATGGCGTATATTATGAAGCTCATTCCTCAAATTACCAAGAATATTTTGACAAAACCAAACTCATCTGTTGAATCTGCACATATTGTAAGTTTTAACGACATGCTCATAAACATACTTGTTATAACTTGAAATCATAAAGGATAAGATTACAAGAACACGGATAATTCCTCAAAACTCAAAAAGAAACATTAGCATCAAGGAATCGATCAATTTTGGACTCAGAAACATTGTACCCTTCTGTATAAAGGAAGCGACCACAAAACCCCTAACCCTCAAAAGGTTATTACGCAGCTACTTTAATGGACGGAGACCAACTACACTGATCTCAGCCCTACCTTTCTAAGTAAAGAATAATATAGAGGGTGTTTGATGGAGATTAGAATTAGATTTTTAGTAGATTGCAATAGAAGTTTTTGAAATGTGTGATTGAAAAGTTGTAGGATCCATGAAAAATGTGGTTAATATTAATTGTTAAACTTTCACTTAGATTAAAATCATATTTTAATCCGTACCAAACGGGCTCATAGACTCTAACAACACAAGAAAATACTCTAAAACCAACAGTTTAGAGGAATACACAAAGGAGATGAAAGGAACAAGAAGAGACTCCATAGAGATCCCAGAAGGCTCTAATCAAAAAATAAGATCAAAAGTGAATTAGGGTGACCACTTAGGTTCTATTTATACTCCTCTTCATCACCATTGATTTCAAGTGAATGATCAAAGAGTCCAGAGCAATACACGTGTCTTCTTATATTGGGTTTGGGCTTGGGCTTGGGCTTGGGTCTTTTCATTCTATATTATCGAGCAATGGTTAAGCAGTTAAATGGATCGAGCCCATATTTCAACATTGCACAAATGGACTGGATCCAATAAATGGCATCACAGCCCCCACAATACCAAAAGATCACAAAGGTAGATAAAGTGATGACACCAATAAGTGGATAGATTTCATTAGCAAATATTAGTGCCTTTATTTATAAATTTGATACATTTTCTTGATCACTTACTTCTACAACTCGATCGTCTTCTTATCAATGACTTCTCTCACAACATGGAGCAAAAGGTAAATACATTGATCCTTTCATGTCCGACTAATTCTTTTTTATTATTATTTTTTTTTTTAAGAAATAGATGAAACCGTTTGAGGACAAATGGCCGTCTATAATAGATATAGACTGCACGTACAAGGATATAGACAATTCACAGTACATATTTTTATTACACTAGCAGCTTTAAGCATGCAATATATTATATTTAGCCTAGAAGGCCAAAAATATATGTACAAAAGATTATTATCTTATATAAATGAAAATGGCATAATGATATCTCAATTAATTCAATATATGTTTGATAAAATCGTCCGTGGAGAACTTAAGTACTAAAAATAAAAAAAGTTAAATACCCACCTACAATAAATTAAAGATTGAAGACTAAGTTATGACTATTTTAAATTAATACTCTACGATATATGAAACAACGGCTTGAGTTCTATGGACCCAGTTATAATCTTTCAAATTTAATTAATTTTTTCGCTCTTGAAGGTGTATGACTATGGCCAAAAATAATAATAGAATCAATAGTACTACATTTACAGAGAAAAAACATACAAGCATTTTACAGAATACAAACGTTAGTGGAGTCCACCTCAATAAAAAATTCACATGGGGCCGCCATATGTCTTCCCTGTAAAACCTCTGTGAGAAAATGCTTGAACATTGGACATTTTCCATGAAAAATTCTGACAACTAGGCTCTAGGGGAATATGGTCTCTCTTATTCACATGACAATCTACTATTTTTTATTCCTTAATTTACTTGTAATTATAAGGTTTCTAGTATACGAATATGTCTGAAAACCAATAATTAGAGGGTTTGACCTGGATGGAGCGCTATGGGGAAATACAATTAGAGTAAAATAATTTGAAATATTCACGATATATAACGTTTAATTAAAATGAACTATTTGGCATATCTCATGTATTTACCGACTTAAAAATTTAATATCCTTTGTTTTGGTTCCATTTTAATGAGGTTTTAGATATAATTTTTTGGAGAATGCGTTGTTAAAAAAGAATAATAAAATTTTAGATTTATGTTTAATATTATTTTATTGAAAAATGTATAATTGAAAAAAAAAGGGAAAAAAATATGTATTAAAATTAAAATGGAGCCCAAATAGGATTGTCTTTATAGGATTTTGCTATTTGTACATAAAAATGGTATATAAGCTATTATCGAAAATAATGTGAAGGGAAAATATTAGATGAAAATAGTTAACTGTGTTTTAAACTAACAAATGGTAGAGTGTAATGTGAACATTATGTAATTATTTTATGTAAACATTGATATACATGGAGCAAGATTCGTCTTTCTATACTCATGATCTAAGATCGTTTAAACTAACATAATGAATGTTTGCAGCATTAAATTATATTGGAAGAGCGCAAAATTGTGTGATACAGAAAATAATAGCAATATGTTGAAATTTCTAAACTGGAAACATTTTGAAAATTAAGCTATTTGGTTGCTTAATGATTAAAGTAAATTACCTGCTTTATGATTTTCTGTTTTTAAAAATAACAAAGAATGAGCTAGACACTCTTACATTGAATTTATTTTAATCATATACACATGGTTTCCACATTAAGTTATCATTTACTTATTTTATTTGGAGATATAAAAATAACTAATAAAAAGAAAAATCATAGTTTACATCAAGGCTTAAAAATGCATTACATATTATGCATGAGAGATTCGTGGCGGAGTCCGGGGAACAATTTATATATTTTTTATTGAATTAATACATAGAATTTTCTTACCTTAGAGTAGAGTGTCGATGATAAGTCAAAAGAAGGTGATGATGTCGTCAAGTCATTATGCCCCTTAAAATAAATAGGCTCCAGGATAGGCCTAGTCTTTTATAGATTCATAGAATACGTTAAAAGTTCAACATTGTCGAGATAATGCACCTTAGTTAATTTATTCCTGATTTTAGATATATGGAGCCATTGCAATGAACAATGTATTGCGTCGATCCTTTTCTTGGCCATTCATTTCTCGTTTATATCATTAAATTTTGTCATGCACTTTTTGAGAATTAATTTATTTATAGATCAAACATTTATTTAACAAAAAATCTACTTTATTATAAATGAATTTCATGTTTTGAATCTAGAGAATAATTTAAATAAATAATATCGCTTATTGACTTTTTTGTTATAGAAAATTTTTTGTGTTCTAAAAAGTGTAAAGCGTGGAGGCCAAGCTTCGACCTGAGTGTAATTTTTTTTTAAATATTATTTAAATTTTAAATCAATCTAAAAATAATTTAATAATTAAAGAAAAAAGTGTTTAAAAAAAACGTAAACAGGCGTTTAAGCGTATAAAAGCATGTCTGGGAGCTAAAAAAATAATAAATAAATAAATAAAGGATGAGGTGGGACATTTTGCCTATACTTCAAGCTTAGAAGCCACTTTTTAGAACACCGCAAAGTTTATACTTCTTTAAAAATCAGCCAAAATATGAATCCGCCATTGCATTACCATACAAGACTTATATCTTAGTTTCGCAATC